CGCGGCACGCCGCCCAGGAGCTCCCGACACCGGGAGGACGAGGGACGAGGGGCCTTGTCGGAGAGAGGCACCGTGCGGCACTGCCTGAGGATGCAGAGGGCCCCGGGGGGCCGTGCCGAAGCTCCTCGAGCGGGGCGCGGCCAGCGGAGGCGGCCAAGGAGGGGCCGAGGAGGCAAGGATGGGCCCAGGAGCTCCCGACACCGGGAGGACGAGGGGCCTTGACGGAGAGAGGCACGTGCGGCACAAGCACACAGCCGGCCCGTGTCACAGCCCGCGTCATACCGCGGAGCCCAGTCCACAAGACACCTGCCAGAAGAAGCCCAACCCTGGGACGCCAGGGCGTCCATCGATTTCTGGTGTGGGAGCGTCACGCCTCCCACGGCAGAAGCATCGAAACCCCAGAAACCCAGAGCACCCTGGAGGCAAGCAGGGTGTTTCTTGGCATGGGTCTCCACTGCACAGTCGGCCCGTAAATCAGAAGGGCGCACTGCCTAAGGATGCAGAGGGCCCCGGAGGGCCGTGCCGAAGCTCCTCGAGCGGGGCGCGGCCAGCGGAAGCGGCCAAGGAGGGGCCGAGGAGGCAAGGACGCAAGGGTACCCTTGGGAAGGTTGCCCGCCCTTGCTGTGCGGGTCGGCTGCAAGGACGAGGGGCCTCAGCAGACAGGGACGCGCTGCACGAGCAGAGCCTCTCGGAGGTCACCCCGCGGAAGTCTTGGGATCGGCGCTGGGGCCCCCTGCCTGGCGCGCAGAGCACGCCGTGGGCGGCGCCTGCGGCTCCGCCTCGGGGGGCCCAGCGCAGATCCACAAGCTCCGCACGGGCCCTCGGAAGCTGATGCTCACGCAGTTGTTCTGCCTCGCCGCCGGCAGTGCAAATCTAGCCCAGGGGCCACTTCCTGTCCTGCAGTCGGGCTGCTGAAGTCAGGAACGCTGGATTCAGGAACGGGGCCCCTGTCTGGCCCCGAAAGCGCCGGCGTGCCCGAGGAGAGCTGGAGGAACAGCCATGAAAGGACCTGAGGATAACATCGAGCCCATTCCGAACCCAAAGCGGTCCTCACTTCAGCGTCCTGACTGTAAGGCCCCATCCCTCTGGGTCCCGTCGTTGAGCAGCCGATGCCAGGCGCGCGCGGGCTGCCGCGGCCGCCGCTGGCGCCAGCGTCGCTGCCGCAGCCGTCGGCGTCGTAAGCCACCGCCGCCGCATGCGTCGCCGCCGCCGCGTCTGCCGCCGTCGCCGCGGCACCAGGGATGGAGGGGCAGAGCATTCGAGGGAACCAGTCTCCAGGGCGGAGGGGGACATCAAGCCAGGACTGAGGGAGCGATCATCCCAAATGCAAGCAGGAAGCATTGCGAAGGTCTGAACTGGCTCTCGGGAAATCGCTCGGTATACCCGCGTCTCCCGGAGAGTCGTCCCGGGCTGAGGGATGAAACTTCAAAAACGTCAGAAAACCTGACAGAGAAGCGGACGACCCAAATGGAAAGAGAAAACCTCCAGAATGGAGGCAGAAACCTGCAATCCAGAACATACGAAAGCCCCAGATGGTCCAAGATCTTCCGCCCCACCCCCAGATCATTGTCACTGGGCCTGAAACAAGCCTCCAAAGAACAACACGTCTGAAAATCTATTGTCGCGATGTTTTTGCGAAGCCTGTGAATGCAGTAAACACTGACGATGGTCGCGGGAAACTAGACGATTATGACGACGACACGGACGACGACCACGACGACGACACTTTTTCACGACGGCGAGGAGAACGACGCGGGCGGCGGCCAAAGGGCGACAATATTTCAAGTAAGACTCGTGATCGTCGTTGCCTCGGTACCTTGACCAGTGTGGCGAGCTTTGTCCCCGCCTCGAGCCACCAAGAGCGATTGGAGATGCGTTGAGTGCCTGCGAAGGGTCTTACTGGCCGCAAGCTAGGCTGGCTGGGGGCTCCGGCACGAGCACTCTGCAGCACTCATTCGCGAAGGGCCCCTGTGGCCGCCGCTCGCCTCCCTGGGGGAGATCCAGCCTGTTGGTCGAAGCAAGTACGTTAAGGATACCAAAACCATCTCGTCGCCCCCCCGCCCGCCCCGCCCCCCCAATCCGCCCCCCTCCGCCCGTGGCTTGCCTTATCGGCAAGACAACGGAAGATGATGGAGACATGCGACTAGCAGCCTCAACACTCACCGCGCCCGCCTCAACAAACGCCAGCCGCCAAGCGCCAGGAGCCTCTGAGAGTGCCGTCATGTCGCCACCGTTTGATTTTCAGTGAAACTCGGTGCCTGAATGTCCGCATCGCCCCTGTCGATGCCACTGCTGCCGATCCCGCCGCCGCCTTCTCGCTGCCTTTGCCCGACCCCGTCGCCCCCTTGCGCCCCCCCGAGAATTCCAGGGCCAACCGCTCCAGCGGTCCACGGGTTCCACGGGGCGCGGGGCCGATCTCCTCGATGCCTCCCTGGCTCCCCGGAACATCACGCCCTCTAAATCGGCCTCTCCCTCGCGCTTCAAAGCGAAGATCAGCTTGAACGCGTCGGGTTTGTCGTCCTTCTTGTTGGCTAGTCGGCAGTCGCAATGCTCCGCGCTGGCCGCCGAGCACAGCGCCATGGCCCCCCATCGCGCACCTGTCCCAGGTCTCGACCGCGGCTTCGTCGATCTCCTCGAGCTGCCCCCCGGCGACGCCCCTCAAGGGCGCGAGCAAGAAGCGCGCGAAAGGGGGGCGCTCTGGGAGGCCGGGATTCGGGACAGAGACGCAAACCAGGGCCGGCGCACGAGCGACGCACGGGCGACGCACTGAACGAAACTTAGTCGGGGGGGGTCGCACTACTGGGCCTTAGCCCGGGACAGAGCATCTGTCTGCGCGGGGTCGCGATTCACCACTCTGGCCTTCTCGCGGTAGACCGGTCCTTCCGCGCGGCGCCTCGTTGCGATGAACCCGGTGGCCAGCGGCGAGAACGCGCGCCAAATCATCCCCGCGCTTGCCAAGCGCGGCCGAGCCAGCGCGCGCATTAACCGAACCGCCGCAATCCTGTCGCCATCGTCGAACGACTCCCCATAGTCTAGTGCCTCTTTGCAGCTCGACCTCCCTGACCTTCGGCCCCCCCAGCTTTGCGGCGCAATCCCCGGGCCGGCGCCCGGGGTTCCACGGCGCTGAAGTTCGCGGATAGCTGGAGCGTGGATTTGGAGATGGAGCCGCAAGCCCTCGCAAGATGAGCCGATGCAGCCACGTAAGTGGCACTCGCGACGCCCCGGGAGATGGCGGCCCCCGCAGCATTGATTGTTGGGTCTGCGTGCCCTCCCTCTGCGCGCGCGGTCCACGACGAGTCGTTGCGCGCGTGCGATGTCGGCGTGTTCGGTCAAGAGCGCGGACGCGCATGGGTCGCGAAGAGGGTCGCCCACGGCTCTCGCAATCTGCGCGCAAAAACTCATGGCGACGTTCGAGCACGCGCGCGCGCCCGTCTCCGCCCTCGCTCCGCAAGCCCATCTAGGAGAGCGGACGCACAGGGCCCAGCTCGGCCCGGGGGCCATGGCCTCTCAAACGCCGCGCCCCCGGCCCTGTTAATCAGGCCCCCCGAACTCTTTCCCCAGATCGCTGTCCCGGGCAAGGGGCCGAAAACTACGTCGTAGAACCCCCCCTTCGTCCTCCATCATCGCGCATCCCATTGGCCCCCATCGCGCGAATCCCTGTTCATTGTCTGAGACGGCGGGCTTGCCCTTCCACCGAGGTCGCCACCTTCGATGGTCGGGGCCCCCCAGACACATACTTACCGAAGATCGCCGCGAGGACTTGCGAGCGCTTCCAAGGCCTGGGGGCAAACTTCTGCGCAATACATAACATGCGAGCGTGCGATTCTCACCTGCTAGTTGAAATTCTCCAGGAACGCGAAACATCACCTGCGTTTAAACTTATCTGGCGCCCAAGCTCCTTCGCCCATAGAAAGCGACAAGCGGCCCCGCGCGCGGCTATTGCACCATCGAGTGCAACGGCATGGACAAATTCACGGTGCCGGAGCTCGCTCAAAACACGCGCTTCCACTCCATGGAGCACGGTTCTTTGCGCGCCGCGCAAAATAGCAGGCCGCATCTGACCGTCCAAGGCCAGTCAGCGAGCGACCCAAACTTGCCTGGGGCCTTCCATGCATTCACGGTGGGTCGCCAAACCCTTTTTTTCTCACTCAGGCGCAGAGCTCTGGTTCGAGCAAACCTGCGAACCAAGATAGCGGGCAGAATCTGCGCCAAGCGCTGCGGGAGCGGTGGTGCCGCTCCTGGGACACGGTGCCGCCTGCAAACGGCTGGCCCCCGCAAGCGCGGGCACGATCTTCTGCTCGCGCCGATTCTGTCCGCGCCCAATCGAAGCCAGAGCATCGTCCATAACTTCGTTTGCACGATGTGAACTCGCAGCGAAGTCCGAAAGCCCACCCCCCTGTCTGGACAACAGAAGCTCAAGTAAACCGTCGGCGCGCTGGCAGACTTACGCATCGACATTCCGCCCCTGGATGGAGTCCTCGGCGTGCATCCCTCGATCGTTGCACTGCCCGTTCTGCTGTTCTGAAAAAAACCTTGCTGCCGCTAAGTCACGCAGGGTTGGAAAGCTGGTAGTAATTGTCGGACCACCACTGGGGCCCCCAGCCCCAGCCGGCTCGCAAAAAGTTCGGGCCCCCAGGGCAGGGGGGGGGCGGGCCGGCGTCGCCGCTTGAAAATGCCGGCAACTCGGTTCACATCAATCCTCTCTCATGAACCGACATCCTGAACAACATCGCGCAGAGCTCACTTTCCGCGCCCCCGCAAACAATCGTCAACGCATGCATGCGTGCAGAGACAAACCTGCCACGCACGTTCGCGCGCCGCGTTCTGATCTGCGCAACCGCGATCGCGCCCTCTCCACATCTACACGGCCAAAAACCGTGAACCGGACTGGGGCACTCGGAGTTTCGGTGCTGCACCACCCTTTTCCGACGGGCGACAATAAATGCATAGTGCGTATGCCACCAGGAGGGTCGACAAAATCACATAGACCTGATGTGTTAGGTCAACTGAGCCCCATGCTCGCGTGAATTTAGGTCGCGGGCTGTCTTATTCTGACCAGCCCATCCTCCAGCGCCGCCTTGTGAAATTGAGCCTGCACTGGTCGAACCCCGCTTCCGAGCCCGAGCCGATGCATATTCGACTGTGCGTCAGCAGCAAGTGGCAGCGCAATCAACACCAATGGTGCTGACAAGGCTTGGCGCGACGTTCTCCTGGGCGCTTTCCGCGCCAAATGTGCAAGCCTCCAAATGCGTCGTTCGGCGTCGTATTTGTGAGTCTCATCCACGCCCGAAATCAATTCGAATCAACTGCTTGCCGTGTTTCGATGAACCACTCACAGTCTCTCGCGCCGCCATCTCCCTGGTGTCCAGGTTCCAGGTGTACCCCATGTCTCTAACCACTGCTGCGGATGTGCTGAAACCGCTGTGCTTAGCTGCCCGGAATGGTCGTCGCTTGGGTCCGCATGCGCCACTTGATACCCCTTGTGCCATCTTTCGTTGCTCCCATGCCTCGCAGAGCTGCTCCGTCACATGTAATTGAAATAACTGCGACTCAATCGGTCGTTATTGTTTCACGTGCGACGGTAATTGCTTCGCTTCTCTAATACTGTTCGCCTCCTCCTCCTCACACTCCGCGCAAACCTCCTGCATTTGCCGCAATGCCGGTCGATGTCGAATGCTTCGTGGCGATGTGCGTGGCATGTTTCATATAGCTAATCGCGTGTGGGGTTCTTTGCGAAGGTCTCCTGTCCGACGTCACGTGCTGTCATCTCCAATAACTCAAACAGTCGGTCTGGTGCGCGTGGGCCAACACATTTCTCGGAGACAACGCCAGAACATGTGTATATATACATACATATATATATATATACATATACACACATGAATGTAATGTACATGGGTGAATGCGTTCCTAGACCCATGAAGCAATGTACTCCAAGTCGGATCGCCGTCCACAGTAGGCGTCCACAGTATTTTGATTGCGCTATGTACTTGGTGTCGGGTTTGCTTCCTTGGGGGCGTTGGGAATCTCGATGTTCAGGTGGATGGGAAGGTGATATCTCTCCGCACTGTAATTGATGTGCTGAATATGCCGTTTCGTCGTGGCCACTATGACCGTGCTCCTGATAGCCGTTCTTAAAGCACTGAGGCAGCTTATGGACTCGATCAATAAATTGCAAACTGCCTCCGTACCAGATGTCCGTGTTGTTATTTTGTTATGTTGTGTTCGTCGCGTGCAAGTTATGCTCTAAACTATCTGCGGAACGACTGCCTGCAAGCTGTTCCCTTCTTGATATATGTACACGTCGGTCACATCTGAATCAATCCGTTCCAGTCGTCAGGCTGTGCCCATCCTCTGTCCAGGTCCATCGTTAATCGCAGTTCCAATAGTTGGGATGTTCCTGGCTGGTGCGTCGCCCAATACATCCGAAATCCATGTAACAAGAGCTGCAACAATTCGCTCGTCAGTGTGGGCCATCTTGGCCCTCGTGTGTGTGTGGGGGGGGATTTCAACTACCAATGATCGTGTCGTCATGAAATGCGTTGGCACTCCTCACCGCCAAGCCAACCCCCTTCGAGCCAGAGATGCGGGCGGGGCCGAGTGTGTCGACTATGTATTGTTCTGAACTTGCTACAACACGTAACGAGTATACCAGTTGCTTCGTTTGTAGATGGTCAACGTCAAACTTCCGTTTCGACTTGAAAACGTGGTGCGTGTTCCTGCTCTCTGCTGCTGTATTCGAAGGTCCGTCTTCCGCTGCGTACCCGCCATTATGTTAACTTCGCTAGTCCTTGAAACACACTCAATGTCTTCAATCCTATCTTGCCAGGAGGCCAGGTCCACGGCTGTGTTACCTCATCCGGCTGTGCACGTTTAGAAAAAGTGCGACGCCGCCACCTCACTCGGTCTGAACACGCGCGGCTTCGACGAAGACGACGATGACGACCAGCGGCAACGAGAACATCTGGAGGTTCTGGAAGTCTCCCGAAAACTCCAAAAATCAAAACCGATTCTCAAATTCGATCATCAAGCTCGACCCGCGATCAACGATCCGCGACCTCCAGAATCGGTCCCTAGACACATTCTGGAGGCAATTCCTTGGTCACTTGGTCGTCGCACATCGATTTCTGCCGGCCCGCCAGCCCGAAACAGGCTTCTAGAGGCCGAACATGTTGAACATTTGTTTCGAGCCTCGATCCTCCGTCCTCAAGCCTCAATCCCTAACTTACGAACCACAACCGACGACCCGCAACAACGACAAAGGCGGCGACGGCGACGACAACAACCACAATATCGCCAAAAACGAGGACTACGCCGACCAGGACAGCGTCAGGGGCGACGACGATCGACGACGACGAGGACGCCGCTCGACGACGACCTCCACGATCGACGATCGACAGCGACGACGAGCAGCGAGCGACGCGCCTCCTGGAGGGCCCGCAGCTGCAGGCGCAGCTCCTGCGACTCCCCGGCGCGGGCTTGGTGCAGGCGAGCGCTCGCCTGCCGCCGCCGCCGGGCGCCAGGACGGGGGGGGCAGAGCTTTGTGGAGGCCTGGAGAGGGCCACTGGGACGGGGGGGGGGTCAGGTTTTTCCCTCTTCTCCTCCCTCTCCCTCCCCCCCCCTTCCTCCTCCTCCTCCTCCTCCTCCTCCTCCTCCTCCTCCTCCTCCTCCTCCTCCTCCTCCTCCTATTCCTCTTCCTCCTCCTCCTCCTCCTCCTCCTCCACCCAGGGGATGTGGCCCCAAGTCTTGTGGGTGGTGATGTTTTGGGCCACCTGGCAAAGCCGAGCAGACTTCCACTCGTCACTGCGATCGGGAGCATCATCTGCCCCCGGTGGAGGCGCCACCGCCGGCAGCGGTGCTGGCTGCGAGGGGCAGTTGGGCGTTGCTGTTTTTTTTTGAGGGGGGGCGATAAGTCGGGGGGGCGAAGAAACGAGCACCTTTCGTGCCCGGTTGGGGCCAGAGGGGCCCCTTAAGGGCACACCTGTCTTCGCCCCCGCAGGGATCGCCCCCCCCCCCCCCCTTACGCAGCGCCCGAGGCAGAGCGGAGCGGAGCGGCGCCTGTGCTGGGCAGAGGCCATGCGCAGGATCGGCTTGGGACGCTGGGGTGCCCTGAATCTGGGCTCCGCTCTCGGAATCTGGGACCGTCAGAAACGGAGCCGCGACAAACGTAGGCGGCGCACCCAGGGGGAAACGAGAAGGGGGGGGGCCTTCTCAGAAGGCTCGCCGAGTCCCCCGGCCTTCCGAGAAGTGTGCTAAGCCTTCCCACGAAGGCACAGGGAACCTCTCGGAAGGCGCGAGGGCTCCTGAGAAGTCCCGCCGCCTTCTGAGAAGGCCCTTTCCTTCTCACTTCCGCCCTCGCTCGCCGCCGAGGACAAAAACGCTACCCGCGGGCCGCGGCTTTCAAAACTCACCTCGGCGGGCGTCGACGGGTTTCCGCCGCCCGTCGCTGGCGCCTGTCGCCTGTCGCCTGTCGCCGTCGCCGCTGCCGCCGTCGCTCCCAGCTCCAGGTCCGCCGTGCTGTGGGCGATTTCGTAGGTGGGGCGGACATCACCGCACAGATTTGACAGGCGCGCTCCACGACTCGCAAAATCTCGCGGATGGCCTGAATCCGCCGCGGAGGATTTACGGTCCACTACATAAAGGCAAGCACGTGTTTTTGTTTCTAACGTTTGCTAGTAGGCAGTGTTCGAACAGTGGAACGCGCTCGGTGATACTCTTCAAACTCCTTTGGTGCCGATTTCCGCCCTGATTTGCCGTCGCAGCCTCTGGCATACCTCTGCTGGGATGTCCGCCCTACTTTTCCGAGGCTGACTTGTCCGCCCCACTGTTCCGACCCCATTGTTTGACATGTTCCGTCTAGTGTGGGGTGCATTTCCGACGCAAGTTTTAAGACGGGAAACCTTCCAAAGTACGGCGGATCCGGGATCAGGTTGCGTGATTCGTTTGTCTCTGGCTTGAAGTCAGAGGCGGTGGGTGCACAACACTGCCGGGTAAGCCATGTGATCTGACCGTTCCCTGGCAGCTTCTCCCCCCTGGTAGGGCGAAGGAGAAAAGACACCAGCACCACCGCGGTCAAGGTGCAGGGGGGGCCCTCCTGGTTGTGCGTCCAAGTTTTTGCGCCGCACCTCCTCTCACCAGGGGTGGCCCAGCTGGAAGTGGTGGCGGCCTAGCTTGTCCTTCCTCCTGTGAAGGGAAGAGGCGAGGGGGACGCTTTGGACGTCGCGCGAAGCACACCGTGCTGACACAAACGAACTTGGATGACAAGCGAGACCCGCGCCCCGCCTGTCGCAACGCCGACAGGAGCTGCCGAACCCAGGCCGTTTACGGTCAAAATGTTTTGCGGAGCATGTTGCGGCGACGGCCCCTGCTGCACGCTACGGCTTGCAAGCTGATGGCGTGCCGCTCAGCTTCGCGGGAAGGGAGGCTGGGAAAACTCTGAACTTTGATGCTCGGGGGCAAGGACGTGCTTAGCGTGTCGCGCCGAAGCGTGGTGGGCCAGAATCGGCGGCGCGACACTCTAAACAAACGTTCCTGGCCGTATCTCCCCTCCTGCAGCACGGAGACTCCCCTCCCACGTCGTGTTTCTTTCATGGCCAATCGGCTGCACGCAGAAGCGCAAGAGTGGCCCTGGGCAAGGGTGACCCTTGGCGCGCACAAGGGGGTAGGGGGAGGGGGAAGTCTTCTCAGAAGGAGGCTGCTTCTTCGAAGGCGCGGGCCCTACATCTACAGATCAGGCCCGCGCCTTCTCAGAAGCAGGGGGTGCTTCTAAGAAGCCTCCCCCCCTGCCCCATACCCCCCTCTGCGCGTGGCCAGAGGGTCCGACGACGACGACGACGACGACGACGAGGAGAAGGATCACACGATGACGACGATGACCTGACAGCGCGCTGAGGCGCAAGTGGAGCGGCCTTTGGTGCGCAGCTCGCCGACCGTTGCGTGCGGTGCGGCGGCGGCGGTCGGCGCGCCCGAGACTGGCCCCGCACGACGACGAGGAGAACAAGCACGACGACAGGAGTACGACGACGACGACGACGACGACGGCGACGACAACGACGGCGACGACGGCGACGACGACGACGGCGACCTCCCAGCACGCCGGTGCGAGGCGGGGATTTATCCATACCCACCGCCTGGGAACCGACGTCCTGGTGCCCCAGCGGGCGGCGGATATATATATATATATATATATACACACACAAGACTGCACTGGCGCTTCGCGCCATGCACCTTGGTCCCTCACCTCTAACTTGCAGGCAACATGAGACAGAGAGAGAGGTTGATCAGTCGAAACAACGAGCGCTCTTAGTAAAAGTGTTCGCCATCACCGTCATCATCTTGTTGTTCCTTCTCCTTTCCTCAGGCGTCCTCTTCTTCTTCCTCGGAGAAAAGAAGGATGGAGGAAAAGAAATATTGGAAGGCTTCTGGGGGTGCCATTGAAGCTCAGTGTTGGGAGCCCTGGTGTTATGTAGCGTTGTGGGGCCTCTTGGGGGTCTTCTTGGGGCCCTTTTGGATCCCTTTTAGGGCCCTGTTGGGGTTCTCTTGGGTCGTCTCTGGGCCCTTTTGGGCATTTTTGGGCCGTCTTGGAGCGTCTTTGAGGCCTTTGGCCGTCGTGGGGCTCCCTGGCGGCGTCTTGGGGCCCTATTGGGTGCCTCTTTGGGCGCTCTGGGGGCTCTCTTGGGCCCGTCTTGGAGCCCTCTTTCTTGGGACTCGCTTTGATTGTTTTCGGGCTCTTTGGGGGGCCTTTTCGGCTATCTTGGGGCGATCTTTGGAGCCTCTTGGGTCGGTTCGGGCCGATGTTGGCCCGAAAAAGGGAGAACCAGGAAAACCTTTGAAAACCATACAAAAATCAATGACATTTCCCTCTTGGGGCCCTCTTGGGAAGCCTCTTGGAGGCCTCTTGGTACGTCTCGGGGCCCCCTTGGACGGTCTTGGGCGGTCTTAGGGGTCTCTTGGAGCGCTCTTGGGCTGTCTTGGAGCGCTCGCGGACCCCTCTTGGGAGTATCTCGGGCCGTCTGGGGCGCCTCTGGGACCGCCCGAAAATCTCGGGGAAGCCCGAAACTCGTTTGGGGGGGGGGGGGGGGGGGGGGGGGGGCTCCGATCCGGGGTCTGTCCGGGGTCCCCAGCCCCATAACAGTATGTAAATAAGCATATACACACATATTCTGGCCCTCGGAGGCCCGAATATATCCATTTACAACGCCTGTCGAGGTCCCCGAAAATTAATCCTCCAGGCGGTAGTCATGTATGATCCAGGGTCGAGGGTTCACGGGCCACCCCCCCCTAGATAGTATGGTCCCAGGATTCCTCGGGCCCCCCAGAGACGACGACGACGACGACGACGGCGGCGACGACGACGACGGCGACGACGACCACGACGGCGACGACGACGACGACGACCACGACGACGACGACGACGACGACGGCTGCGGCGGCGACGACGCCGGCGGCGGCGGCGACGACGACGATGACGACGATGACGACGACGACGACGACGACGACGATGACGACGACGACGACGACGATGACGACGACGACGACGACGAGGACGACGAGGACGACGACGACGACGACGACGACGACGACGACGACGACCTCTGAACCACCACAGCACCACATCACATCCACAGGGGGGGGGAGGGGGGCACCGCAGCGCAGAACCACGCCACGCCCACTTCTGAACCACCACAGCACCACACCACATCCACAGGGGGGGGGGGGCACCGCAGCGCAGCACCACGCCACGCCCACAGGGGGGTGCGGGGGGGACCATCGCGCGGGGGGGGGGAAGAGAGGGGGGGGGGGGGGGGCCCAATGGCATCAGCATTGGGGGGGGGGGTGCCCAAGCTGGACCATGTGTCCATTCCCGCCTCGAGCTGGGGCGCGGCGAGCGCCTTGTCCAATCCATCGTTCTGTGATCCGAAATCAGCGAATCTGTGAACGCGCTTCGCGCGCGCGTCGCCGGGACGCTCTTCCAGCCTTGCGCGCGATGCTTCTCCTTCATTTTCGCGAAGTGGAGCGGCCTTTTTGGTGCCGGAACGGGTGAGGTGGGCTGGTTGAGGAGGATGAGGAAGAAAAGAGCAGGAGGATGAGGAGGAGTAGAAGGAGGATTAGGAGGAGCAGGATGAGGAGGAGGAAAGCAGGAGGATGAGGAGGAGGAGGAGGAGGGAGAAGCAGGAGGAGGATGAGGAGGGGGAAGAGCCAGGAGGAGAAAGCAGGAGATAGGAAGGAGGAGGAGAGGAGGAGGAGGATGAAGTGAGTGAGTGAGTGAGTGAGTGAGGACACCGCTACGCGGACGCACAGGTGCGGTCCGCGCACGGCCGCCCGCGGACCGCGGGCGCCGCGGCGCGCCATAGCGCGGCGCAGGACGGAGGTGCCCCCCTGAGAGAAGAGGGACCTCCGTCCTAATGACCTGGACGAGCAGCGCGGCGTCCAGCGCCAGGAGCACTGCGTCGACGTGGCGAGCCGCCCGCCGCCCAGCGCACGAGCGCGCTGAAAGCGGC